CCGGTCCGGTACGGGCGCGACACTGAGGGTTGCGATCCGTTGCCGGTCACGAAAAAAGACAAAAAGGAAAAAAAGAAAAAATCCTCATTCATGATATACATTTCCAAATCAACCCAGAAATGTCTGCTTTATTGAAACACACCAAATTCCTTAATCTCTGGGACCTAAATACTATAAATAGAGTCCTGGGCTCATTCTTAATGAGTTCATGGGAATCCCCACCATCAATTCTTATGTAGAGATCCTGACCGTGAATTGTTCTTTAGAGGGGCCCTCTCTTCCCTAGAAGCCAGAGATTCTATTTCCTGGGCCTTTGTCTACTTTATAGACAATAGAAAAGTCAAAGGTTTTTTTTTCTTTTCCTTTTACTGGCTTTTTCCCTCTACCTTGCTCCAGTTTTTCAGTTTCCATTAATAGCCTACAGCTGCAACTCACCAAGGCCCTGAGGCCGGTGAAGGAGATGCCAAGCAAGGCACATTGTATTCTATTATAGTCAATTCCATGTGTTCAATTCCTGGTTTTTCCCCACCGGGTTCTGTCCTTTTCTGTCACTTGATACAGTTGTCACCTGGCTCAATATCACTGCTCAGGCCCTCCAAAGGAGGCTTGTTTTTCTCTTCCTAGCCTGCAGGACTCATGGACATTCACATTATCCACGTTTATGAAAGGCTGATAGGTGAACCCTCGTGAATAAAGCACCCTCTCAAATAAGAGATCAGAAAAGTCTCCTCTTTGGGCCGACCCCGTGGCTCACTCGGGAGAGTGCGGTGTGAACCCTCGTGAATAAAGCACCCTCTCAAATAAGAGATCAGAAAAGTCTCCTCTTTGGGCCAACCCCGTGGCTCACTCGGGAGAGTGCGGTGCTGGGAGTGCCGAGGCCGCAGGTTCGGATCCTATATAGGGATGGCCGGTGTGCTCACTGGCTGAGCACGGTGTGGACAACACCAAGCCAAGGGTTGCGATCCCCTTACCAGTCACAAAAAAAAAAAGAAAAAAGAGAAGTCTCCTCTTTCCCCCTGAAAGGTAAGCAATTCAATCAATTCACTGACTGATTGAAAGAAACAAGTTGGATCTTTACTACACCAGAATAAATTTCCAATAGATTAAAGTGAAAACCTTGCAAAACTCACACATATACACACATAAAATTAGATGAAAATATTTACAACATATGACAAACTGCCTTCTTAATAAGGTACTCTTACAGATCAATATGAAAAAAGCTAATACCTCAAAGAAAAATGGAATCTGAGTGGGCAACTCACAAAATGCATATTAATGCCCAATAAGCATGGGAAAAACCAATCACCTGTAACCAAAGAAATGCAAATTAAATACTATTTTTCATTTATCAGATTAACAAAGATTTCAGAAAAAATTAGCCAGTAATCAAGTAACTGGTGTTCAAAACCAGGAGTGTTAGTTGGCCCCATTCTGGAGAGCAGTTGAGCAACATTTAATAAAATATAAATAAGCAACTCCACTCCTAGCAATGTAGCCTAAATTGAATGAAGGATTCCAGCAAAGGGGGTTGGGGTGTAGGCCTTAAATGCACTTCAGTAGGGACCTAGTTAAATCATGATATATTTGTACAATGAAACACTAAATTTCAAAGAATCTAAGACTCAACCAGTTTTAAGACACCCTACTATTTTATGTTCTAAGTAGAAAACATTCTAATTAAACTGTAATATGCCATCAATTCCTATGATGCACATTTTTTTTTCACATTTTTAATATGCCTGAAACTGGAATGGATCTTAGAATTGATAAAAAGCATACTATACAGTCTTTTAAAAAAAGCATAACAATATTTGACATGGAAATGATCAGGCTAAATGGAATGATCTTACTATTATAAATCAATGCAAAAATAATCTGAAAGAATATGCACTGAAGCACTAACGGTGGTTATCTCTTAGCCATTGGTTGTTTTTTTCTAAATATATTTTTGCATTCTTTTAATCACAAATATTCATTGCTCTTGTAATTGGATAGTCAATTAAATATTCCAATTTCTGTCCAAAAACCTTGGACAGTGGGTCTAGAGACAGACACTATTGACTACTTTCTTTGTGGCCCAAGTTTCTTTCCACCTTTTGTGCCTGGCGCTTTCATTAACCCTTAATACTCCTGTCAGATGGTAGAAAAGGTAAAGTAGATGACAAAACCAGATGAGGTGGGGTCAGGGATGTTAAGGTCATAACTAAGGTAATGGATCTTTGAAATTCAGAGTTTATATAACATGCCAATTTTTGCCAAATTCCCATTCTAATAGAAATTAATAATGATCAATAACATCTAACGCAGTACCTAGTGCATGCAGCTTTCAAGAGCTGTGACTCAGTTCTTACCCCCACCAATTAAGGTAGGTGTTATTGCCATCAAACAGTTGAAGAAACTGAGATACAAAAGTTAAGTAACTTAACAGAAGTCACACAACTAATACCTGATACTAGACAGTGGGGTTTCAGAGCTTAACTTTTTTTTTTTTTTTTTTTTAAAGATGACCGGTTAGGGGATCTTAACCCTTGACTTGGTGTTATCAGCACCACACTCTCCCAAGGGAGTCATGGTCTGGCCCCTAGATACTCCACTAGACAGTGGGGTTTCAGAGCTTAACTTTTTTTTTTTCTTTTTTTTAAAGATGACCGGTTAGGGGATCTTAACCCTTGACTTGGTGTTATCAGCACCACACTCTCCCAAGGGAGTCATGGTCTGGCCCCTAGATACTCCACTAGACAGTGGGGTTTCAGAGCTTAACTTTTTTTTTTTCTTTTTTTTAAAGATGACCGATAAGGGGATCTTAACCCTTGACTTGGTGTTATCAGCACCACACTCTCCCAAGTGAGTCATGGTCTGGCCCCTAGATACTCCATAATTCTATACAGATGACTGTTCTACAAATTTACATTAGGGTTCTGACTGTAGTTGATTATAATTGTGATTCTATAAAAATCTTTTAAGTCTACAAAAATCTTTGAAACAAATTCAGGCCAAAAAAGTTATTTTTACTAGGCAAACAAAAACTAGTATTTCTATACTTCTCAAGTTCTAGTTCATTCTTAATTCTCGAGGAATCAGCCTAAAAACCTAAAATTTAAAAAGAAATAAAACCAGGACGAATCTGGCACTCCCAAATTTGCTAACTTATCTACCCTAATAATACAAGACACAGGTAGGCCACAGAAGAGGAAATATCACTGCCAAGAAAGTATTATTTTAAGGAAACTGATAAATGGGGTATTTAAAGCTATAAATAACATTATGCCTTTTAAACACAAAAGTAATCAAAGAATATTATGCTCTTCCCTCTTAAAATAGCTATACCTTCACCCAATTTACCTACTGATTTTCTCTAAACATAAAGGCTATTTCTTAAGCAAGAAGGAATTAGGGCTGCATTCGACTCAATTTGTTGCTTGTATGAGTTGCTGAAACATTAATGCCTTCCTTCATTCTGTGGTAATTAACTGCATACTCTGCAAGTAGTCATTTCTTGTTCTATTTAAAATGGTCTTATTCCAAAGTTGGTTCCTCTGAAACTCCACATTTCTAAGGAACAAACCTATTATGTGCTGTCATGGGGTCCCTTTATGTCAATTCGGGCCACTTTTCAATTTCCACAACTTTAAGGAATTCTTCCATTAAGAGACCCAGGCTTTGCCTATGCAAGAGGATGTCAAGTGAGGTTCAAAATACCTTCCTTTTCCAATTTCTGGCATTTTGCCACCTATAGGTAATAGGTGTTAAGTATAGAAAACACTATAAAGGCTACTATAAGATTGTCACAGAGAATAAACTGCTCTCAAAGGTCCTGAATTTTAACTGGGAAGACAGGAACATTCACACCTCCCCCCCCCAGGGCATTTCACTAGTTCAAAAAACTAAAAAAAACACCTTAAAAATTGGATGAAAGTTAGTAACAAAACAAAAAACACTTGTTCCTTTATTAAAGAAAATCTCAATTCACTTGCTGAAATGGCAACTACACATCTCCCTACATATTAGCTCCAAGAATGTGGCCTTCATAACCTAAGGGCATCTTTCTTGCATGGCCCAAACCAGAGACTCCCCCCATCCCCAAATCTCTCCAAGTGAAAATAGGACTTCCCAAGATTTCATTAAGAAACAGAAATCTTAACTTTATTCTGTCACAAAGGGAGTGAAGGACTATTTGCCACCTTTTCAAAACACTGTAAAAGATAATTGTTTCCTAAGTTTCTTCTCCACCTCTCATACTGCAACTCAATTTGAATGGATTCCTTTGCATTCCTGTAAACACTCAGACAACTCCCTTTAGTCTGTCTATGGCAGGGTAATTTTCAGGGCAGCTGCAGAGAAACCTTAAAAAAAAAATCATATCAACTTTTGACCTGCTTTTAATAGATTAAAATAACTTATAATCAAGTCCGTAAGTTATTTCTCCAGCTACAGATGCAATCTTTATATCAATTCAAAACTTTTCCTCTAAAAATCTGCAGTTATTTTTAAAGTTTAATAACCCAAAGTAGTAAGAGACTGATGATCGTATAAAAAGAAAACATCCGTGCTCTCCTGTAACTGGTAAGTGCTGGTAAAGTTCTTCAAGCAACAGTTTATTGGCAATTTTCTCTTAATAAACTTTGTCCATTTTTCCTGAAGAGAAGTTCTTTCTCAGATGTTGTTTCTAAGTGACTTCACTTTGCATTACATAGCATCTAAAGTCTGTCTTTACTTCAGTCAACATGACTTCCAGCTCTAGCTACTGGACTCAAGATGCAAGGGGTCAGTCCAATTGTTAATAGGATTTTGATATACAATGACTAGGTGCCACTTAATTTTCAAGGTATTCCGTAAGGAACAAAATACGGTGGAGAGAGGCACACACACTATACCTGCTAGGTATATTGATTTTTCCCCCTGTGACTAGTACCCCTTGAACATCTGCCCTAAAAATAGGCTTATCCAATCCAGGATTCCCATATATTCTTCAGAAGCTCCTAATTTAGACTCAAGCACGTGGGGCTGGCCAGTTAGCTCAGTTAGTTAGAGCATGGTGTTGTAACACCAAGGTCGAGGGTTTGGACCCCCATACTGGCCTGCCACCAAAAAAAAAAAAAGTAGACTTAAGCACCTAGGTAAAGCCTTGGCGAACATGTAAGGAGTATACAACAAAACTTGGAAAACAAAATCAAGTTGAAACCGAGTATCTGTAGGTTTTAAGGAAAAGTTCTTCCTTTAAAAAAAGAAAAAATTGAATGTTTTCACTGGAAATTCTGAATTCCCAAAGAATACACAAATAAACCAACTGCCTATTAATAAACAGAAAGCTATCTGTATTTAGTTCACCAGTCAACGTGACTTAAATATGTTCAACCATTTTCTGGAGAAAAACAAAGACCACTCATCCTCTTTGATGTATTTAGTCAATTTCTTTCCAAACAACCTTGGCAGTCTGAGCCCTTTGACAAACATGTCAAACATGTCTAAACATGTGCTTATCCAAGTACTATCAGAGCACAGTTGCCAAATGAAGCAAGAATTCAACATGCAAAGTTCCAAAAGTAAAACAAAAATTTTCTCGGGCATTATTCATTGGCTAACATTTTAGTCCCAATTCAACAAAATTCTAGGCAAATGTCAAGTACCAAGTTAACCTGGACTACTTTATGCAGAATCTTCATTCTAGGCATATGAAAATGAATGCTATTTCTTCAAATTAGAAATCTTCTTAGGTCCTGAAATCCAGAAATGAAATCAGCTACAATGGCAATCAAAGTATCAGTGCAAACCAATACAAATGTCCAAAGATAAGCTACTTCCTATTTTCTCTGCTAACACAACATCAAAATCCTGAATATAAGCCCTTCACTTTTCATTAATTACTAGGGTCTGGAAGTTTGGTTGGGTATCATTTTACTAACTTGTTACTAGATATACAGTGCAAAGCATACTAGTTATCAAGTTTATGGGCTTTTTGAGTTAATTCAGATCTGGTTTTAAGTGTTCAGACTCTAAAAACTTATTTACATATTAATCTCAGTATAACATTTCGGTTAGAACCTATTTCCTAAGCATTTACTTTTTTTCAGAAAATGGAATTGCATGCACCTGACAGTCTTAGAATTTGCTGTACCAGTTAATTTGACTGGTAGATGGGCTACATACCCATTAATATATCTGCATCTTACCTTTAAAGTCAACATCAGTTAGGTTCTAGCAGCTTCACATTTATTTAAAACCTTTTTAATACCTGTTGGTTCCTTCTACATGCTAGTGCTCTTAAGGATGTACTTCTAAAATCCCATATACAATATCTAGACTCTGTATGCAGCCCCCTATGTTTTTCTATTTCAATAAAACCATCTCTGGCAATTAAAGTTAACATAATCAGAATTAATGAGTAATATTCTCCCTCCAAACCCATACCAAAAATAAACCCTAAGTAGATTTACAATTCGTCCTGCTTCCATCTTTAAACTGAGTAAATGAACTAGACGTATAGTACCTAGTGACATTTAAAAATCTTTCCTAACTCCACAGGGCTTAAGATAGTATTTAACGAGTAAAGAAGCCGCATGCCCAATTATTTTAATGCAAGCTGTAAATGTCTCAAAAATTTCAGCTCTAGAATCATTTCCATTTAAAAGCATCAAGATAAAAGTTCACTAAAACATCAGCCACCACTGTTTTAGGGATCTGTATCCATTAAGAGATTTTCTTTTTAGAGTATTATACCTAGTTAATAAAAATGGCACTCTGTATTGATTAACTTTCACCCTCAAAAAGTCATCAGCTAAGAGAAATGTCAATTGTCACATCCTTAAGATTCATATTTTTGTAAGAGTTTAACTTTCCCAACTATAATACTTATTAAGGTAGGTATCCCTTCCAAATATGATTCAACAGCCTAGTTTATCAAAAACCCCACATAAAACTGAGTTTAAAAAGTAAATTTAAAAATTAAATACGAGCATTATCTTGGGTATGCACACACAGGTAGAAATCAGGAAACACATGACAATAAATGGGCTCCTATTTGATTGTTTTGATTTTTAAGAAGTGAGCATGAAAATAAATCTTTATTTTCAGTTATTACCCACCAATAAGAGAAAGTTAGGTTCACAGTTTTAGCTCTCGACACAAAGTGAACTAGGAGGCAAATTTACATCCATCAGATACAACTAATGGACCAACTTTTTAAAGTTCAGGCTACCTTGAAAGCTTGCAACATATCAGATATTGCTGTGTATTCTCTGATGACAGCAATGGCTGACACTGAGTAGAACTTGTGAAGTGTTTTTAATAGGTGTTTTTTGTAATATGTTGCTGGAAACCAAGAGGTTTATAAATATGTTACACGTTCAGAAATGAGATACTTGAAAGTCTAAACACACTGATTGAGGAATGCATATGTTGCAATCTCAAGAGGGGTCAACAGTCCATATGGACTAAATTAATACTTGCCTCTGGGTAGCAGATATGTTTGTAAATATAAAATTAGACATTAGCACCAGTGCAGAACATGCCCCGCATCATAAGATCCAAAACACCAGCACAAGTTTACCCATCATTAAAAAACAATTACCTCCTTCCTAAAATATCAGACTTGCAAGTAACTAGATTAATAAATCTAATCCAAATGAATAACTCCTATACTATATAATTTCTTTCAGAATTATATGTGAGAACCAATCAGCTAAACAGCAGACATATTTAAGATTACCAATATTTTTTAAAACTGGGCATTACCATACATAGGTAGAAACTTACTGAAAACTGAGACAAAAGATCTTCAAAACTTTAAATAAAATTCCCTTCCTGTTTATCAATAAATGTGCCAGAATAAAAAAAAAATCCTAGAAAACCTGTTTATTGATCATTCTCTCCATGTACGTTTTAATAAGTGGTGCTGCTCCCATTTAAGGAATCCACTACTAACCTAATTTTCTAATAAAGAGGTAAGAGATACTTATCACCTGTAAACATTCATCTATCAACTTAAGACCAACTAACAGCAATATAGGAAATTAAGAAACATTAATATTTTTGGTTTATATTTCATGGATGGTGCTGCTGTTCCAACCTTATAAAGTAAAGCTGTCTGCTTTTCAAATTCCAAAAATTAAAATATCCCCCCCCCCCCCCCCCCCCCCCCCCCCATCTCACCATACTAACCAGTGCCCTTTGGTTTAGGACAAGGAAAGGTTAAAGGGTTGTTGATTATGGATGTACCATTTTGATTTTGAGAATTTCACACAAAAATCATACCAAGTGGCCAGACACTTATTTTTACAGAACAGTTTAAATATTACGAACTAGCCAAATCAACTAAACAACTTTCACAAATTGGTGTTTAGTTTGGCTTATAAATGGGAAAGTCACACATTTAAAAGTAAATGTAGTTGAAATTGTGAATCAGGTATAATTTGAACCTAATGAACCATGCAGGAAGGAGCAAGGGTTAATAAACCAATGTGCTTTGAATTTGTTCAAGTACTGATATTTCTGAATATAAAGATTTAGCATATATAACAGCTATCATGAGAAGTGAAAAAAGACTTTTCCCCAAAAATGAAAATATTAAAACTAAGTTAAAATACATAAAGTAGTTAGTATTCCACGCAGCATAAAATTCAACAAATCAAAGTTTACATGTCCCAGGTTGAACATGTGTGAAAATGCAAAGCAAGTATTAAAACCGATATTATGTCCAATATTTAAAACCAGTTTGTAATTGGGGGAACATCTAAATCCTTAATTAAAAAACACAAATGAAGTGAAAGCTTTAAACTGGTACACACTGTTCACACCTATATTTCAAGTTTGGAAATGCATATTTGCAAGCAGCAATACAAAAGTATTCATGAAGAACGCATAATCTCTGAAAATTATGAAAACATCCCTGCTACCGATACATTTCTAAATACAAAACTGACTACCATATTTGTTACTTCTGTGTAGCGAGAGAAGTTCATTTTCAAAACAGATAAAATTCAGTCTTTAGGTGTGAATGGTATGAATGACAGTCTTTTTTTTTTTTTTTTTAAATTTCTTAGTTGTTTGGGATCCTTAAGCATGCAAAAGCTTTGAACAGGAGGGTCCACAAAGGAACCAGGGTTGTCTTATGGCATCCAGTTAAGCCAGAGCTGGGAACGCCTCTGGGTCATCAACATCAGGAGCAGACGCACTTGACTGAAAAAGAAAACAAACCACAATTAAATACAATTCTCAAATTTTGAAATACATTGCTGTGTCTATTTAGGTATGGAACTCTAAAATACCAAATATATCAAAGCTTTTAGTTAAAAGGCAAAATTATGGATCAGAATAGGACTACAGATATACAACACTGGCATTAAAAAAAAGTAATGTCAAAGGAAGAAACAAAGTATCCCTATATTATCACAGATGAACATCATAAAATCTACAATACAAAGTTACTACTATAATCAAACACTGACAGACTCTATTAAGCAGGAGGGTCCACAAATTTGTGTACTATGTCTTAACAAATTCAGAAGGACATTATGGTTGTTTCCAAGCTTGACCATAAGAAACAAATGAAATAACCCAAAAGTTACTTCTAATACTTTAATACAAGGGTACTTCAAAAATCTCATGGAAAAACAGAACAAAAAGATAATACAAATCTTTCCATGAACTTTTTGCAGTACCCTCATATTCAGTCATCAGATGCAAATACTTTGACATCAGACAGATACAAATTCAAATTTATCAATTACTTGAGCATCTATCAAAAGATTTCATTAAGAACTCGTTTAGTACCACACACTGTGCAGAGCATTGAAGAAATTACAGAAAGTAGGACAAACACAAATCCCAGCTATTACAGAAGAGTCTAGTATAAATAAATCAAGAAAAAAGGTTATCAATAATCACGTGAGTGTCACGCAAAGGTTATGTTAAGATGAGACCTAGAAAAGCAGTGAGGAACAAAGTAAAGGGAACACATTGGTTATTTCAGGTAGATCTCAGCCAGCAAAGGCTGAGTTGAGTTGATGCCCTGTACCTGAATTTCCTTATCTGTAAAGACAGGGATGCCACCACAGTAACAATTAAATGACATTAAGTACATAATATGCCTAGCACTTCATAAGAACTTAATAAAGTGTAGTAATGTAACTCTACTGACAGCACTATTCAAAAAGTCATTTAAATACTTTAAACAAAAATATAACCTACAATGTAGTTTCTTTAAGGCACAGCTACTTTTTCTTCTACTTTTCATGTCCGTAAAAAGGACCTAGCCTGTGATTTATCAGAAGAGGCCCTTGAATTACTTAAAAGGGAAAAAGAAGTCTTAAAATAACCTTATCAGTCCTGCTGCCACGGTTTGGACGTCCACCACGTCCACGTCCACCTCGTCCTCCCCTGCCACCACGTCCTGGGCGGCCAAGGTCTCCAAAATTGATCTCCAACTGAGACGTTATATCATTTGCTGGCTTCCGGAAATGATGGTCCATAACCGAATCTTCAGCATGAGCCTAAAAATTTAAGTAAGGCCATTGAATAACAGAAAAATAATGCTGCAAAATTTCTAAATAATGACCTTTCTCCTAAAAAGGCCAAAAATCCAAGCTGTTCTTTGTGTGAACAAATATATCAACACCTCTACAGGTAATAAGCAAGCTCTGCGCTCAGCTATCGTGATCTTGGAATAAGAATTCCCTTCACTTTTTTCTACCTCAAATTTCTCTCACTTTAAATTGCAGGTTAGTATCAGCAGTCCTTGATTAAAGGTATATAATCATAATCGACTCAAATGGCTGGTCCCCAACCCAGACCTACTGAATCAATCTTTGGCAGTGAAATCTGGGTAAGTTCATTTTAAATGCCCTTCTGATTAGGATTCCTATGTGAATCCCTGATGAAGAAGACCTTTGGATATAAAACATTTAAGGTTTCTACTAGTCATAATACTGAATCTTTTTTACAAGTTATAAGAACTTGTACTCTTGGGAAAACACATTATGTGTAGATTTCTCAGATGGTGTTTCTGTTCATATACAACTGTTATGTTCTTCCACATAAACTGGTGAGCTACAAATTCAAATGAAATATTACAAACTCTACACAAGAGGGGAACCTTGAAAAGCTATGTACAAACAAAACCATGCCTTAAATGTACCAAAGGAATTTCTGAAAAATGAAGTCATCATGTTTATGAAATCCAGACCCTCTTTTGTATTTATGTATAAGCTAAATGACCCAGTGGGTGAGGGGATAGGGCAGAATGGGGGTGGTGGTGGAGTGAGTGGGACAAAAAGCCACCACAGAATTTTGTGCTGATTCATGACTGATCTCTTTTTTTATGTTTGGGATGAACAGGTTTTAGTCTTCTAGTTGGAATCTCTGCTTATACTACTTAAAAGTACATTTTTCTTTTTCTAAGTACATGTAAAATCCTTTTTTCTGGAGATAATAAACATCTGGTTCTTTCTAATCAATTTGTATTATTATAGCTGTTAATCACCTTAAAGAACAAGTGCATTCTTATGTTTATATTCATGTTTTCACCTGTTTCATCACCTCATACCCAAATTAAATATTATCCCTTTGTGTCATGCCAACCTACTTCAAAGGCAATGGAAGGTTCTTCTAATATTAACTTTAAAGGAGCCTAGAAACATAAATAAATGTAAATCCACAAAACCACTAACAAACTAAAATCAATTATATATACTGTCTAATTTTTTTTTCCTTTTTGTCTTTTTTACTGACCGGCAACGGGATCGCAACCCTCGGTGTTGCGCCCGCCCCGCGCTCAGCCAGTGAGCGGGAACCGGTCTCCACATGGGATCTGAACCCTCGGCGGGAGCGCCGCCACGCTCCCAAGCGGTGCACTCTCCAGTGCGCCACCGGGCCGGCCCTATACTGTCTAATTTTTAAATGTTTGCTATTTCAAACCAACAATATCAATTCATTATTAGAAGTTGTTGCAAATTTCTAGAGCACAGAAGCAAAAAAGCATTAAGTTGATGCACTACTGAAATACCTGAAAGGTGTGACTACGGTAAGTAAGATGACATACGGATATTCTGTCACCACTAATCTTTACAGCAACTACAAGGATAAATTTGCAATAAAAAAAATTTTCTAGAGCATCTAGAGAATAATGAGGAAATAAGGAGCTTTCAATCTCATCTCTGTCAATAACACAGTTACTCAGTTCTCCATTCCTAAAGAATGTTAAATTTCTTCTTTCCCTACGGTAAGTAAGATGACATACAGATATTCTGTCACCACTAATCTTTACAGCAACTACAAGGATAAATTTGCAATAAAAAAAATTTTCTAGAGCATCTAGAGAATAATGAGGAAATAAGGAGCTTTCAATCTCATCTCTGTCAATAACACAGTTACTCAGTTCTCCATTCCTAAAGAATGTTAAATTTCTTCTTTCCCCTACCTCATATTTGTTGTGAGGATGAAGGTAAGTAAAAGTAAAAGGGTCCTTAAAATGTATATATACACACACAACAAACCTGAAGACCTAAATATTCAAATAAGGCCATATTTAACCAAGCCTCCATAACACAAAGGCATAGGGCACAGTAACTGTAAGGTCCCAAACATATAAAAAGTGGTTTGGTAACAAATATGTCCCAGTTTCGACATTATTCATAACCAATTTCACATTTAATAATTTTCAAAAATTTCTAATCATATACATTACCCTGTATAATGGTTATTTCTAAAACGCTCAGTGTAGGATGATATTTAAAACTGGGATACCCAACCTGATGTCTATAAAAAGTATAGAGACTTCAGGGCATTAATGAATCCCCTGAAACTGCAACTACAATTTTATGTGTGTATGAATTCTATTCTGGGAAAACACTCTAGCCAGGACCCCAAAGTCACAAATAATTGTCTTAAGGAGCCTAAGTAAATCTTTTTTATATTAACCTAGGCAGCTGATAATCAGTTCAAATAAACAATCTCCTCAAGATGAACTTTCATGGTTGAATCAGGAATTCTATTTTGTTTTACTCAAACACACTAACAACTTTAACTGCAAGAACCAAAAAAACAAGTTTTCTAATAAAGCAAATACTTTTCTCTATGGAACCTGACACGACAATGTCCTCATTTACTATTATGAAGTAACTGTTAAAAATAATCTGTTCTCTAAGCCTAGAAAAACATTTAAAGTCTATCTTCCATTTTATTTAAAAATGTTTCCAAGTTTGTTTCACAGAAACTTTTTGTTTAGAAATTGAAATGCATTAAGATCTTATTGAATCTTTTCATTACAGGTTGCCTACATAACATTTTAATTTAACTTTAGCCAAGAATGATAGAATTTGTACTCTGGATTTCTGACACAACCCTATATGACCTGCAGAAATCAAACATAAATGTCAAAAGGTTGAAGAAAGCTAATAGAGACAGAGGATTTAAAAGAAGAAATAAAACTTGTCTGGCTACCACTACCATTAAAATCTCATACTTTCACAAGCCCTAATAGGATTCTAGCACTGGGACATTCCTCTAAGAACATGCCCCAAGGTTTAAACAAAAGCTACCAAATCAAAAGTTACCAATATAACTTCCTCAAATATTTTCATTAGTTTTCATGATTCCTAAGTAAAGAAAACACTTAAATTAATTCTTTGGTCTTTACAAGGCATCAGTCCTCAGGTAAAGAAGGATACTACCATTTACTGAGAGTCCTGACCATTATACTCCTATAATGGCATAAACAGTTTCAAAAGATGAATACTAAATAAAGCCACTTATACACTAGGTTAAACCTTCATATGGAACATTTCATATACCAACATTTCAACCTAATACAGCAGTCTTTTAAAAATTTCCACTTAGGTAAGATTTCAAAAAACACAACCACAACTTTTCAAAATACCAAATTTCTAAAACACTAATAATTCTATGATATACCATTGACTAACACCTTTTTTTAAAAAAGAAACAATATACCACGTTAAATATAATTATGAATTGATCAAAACATTAAATTTCTTGGAATATATGGTAATGAAGTTTATTTTCCCTTTCAAGCAAGTTATCTGCCCTATGATCCTAAGTAAAGCTTTATTTTATAAACAGAATATAACCTAAGTAAAACTTAAAAATATATATATAAATACAAGTCACATCTGAACGTTTTCAAATACCACAAAACTTAATTTTACCTCTTCACTCTTTGATTTATGAAGAACAAATCCCTTCTTCCACTGCCCATCAGCACCTTCATTTGGTTTTCGGATATTAAATTCTACTTTTGCCCGGTCCTTATTTTGAATAGCCTTCCACTCATCCAAAGTCATCTCTTTTGGACCCTCTTCCTTTACCTCTTCAACTTCGTTCTCCTTATTTTCAGTGCCTGCCACTGGATGTTCTTCACCTTCAGGTGTTTCCTCAGTCACATTTGATTGATCCAAGTCAGTTAATTGATCCAAAAATGAAGGTATCATAATATTCTGTGTAACCCAATGGCTAACATGCAACTTGATAGCGGTCACAAATTTAGTGCTTGTTGATTAATGGAAGTACAGATAACTGTGCAACATAGAATTTAAATGATGATCATTTATCAGTAATACAATCTTGAATTGGTCTTACTAGTCCTAAAATACACATTTCTTAAGATCACACTAGTTTGTTTTTAGGTGATTAAAATCCTTGGCTTATCTTTTCCTAAAACACACACCTTTAATTTCCATAATTTCTCACAGTATATAACTCATGATAGCATATATGAAGGAGGGCTGGCTCAGTGGGTTAGAATGCAGCCTTGCAACACCAAGGTCATGGGTTCAGATCCCTGAACCAGCCACAAAACAAAAACCCACCACATATACGAAGGTAATCATCTAGGATGCCTCTGGTTTCCTATTCTGGAATATAAAAGAACTGTTCCTTTTTTCTAGCATATAAGGCAAAGCAAAACAAAAGCCAATTTTCTATAAATCCTAAAATCTCTATGCTTCAACTTTCAAACCAAACTATACATGAACAGGAGACTGAGGTTTCACTAGTAATAAAATTGTTGATAAAACAAACTGGCTTCAATATTTAATACCAAATTAGTTATTTCCGAATATAATTCTCAAGTTATAACTATTGAATATCCTTCTCCTTTTTACAGAAACAAAGCACAGGCATAGGAAACCATTATTTTAGCCTGATCTCAATTTCCAATTGTTACCAAACAAATCATTTGCTATTTTGGGTGCTCTCCTTCTTTCCAAAGATAGCAGGTGATAAAGTTAGCCTTAGAGCTCAAGTATCTCCCTTGATGCTGTCCTTTACTGTCTGACAAATCCTACCTTAAAATGTCCTAGAGCAAGTTTACATTGAACTGACCAGGATCTTGGGTATCAAGTCCAACTTTGGCACCTTACAGTTGAGAAAACTAAGGATCTAAAAAAGGTTCTAGTTACTACAGTTACAACATAAGTCCAACTTTGGCACCTTACAGTTGAGAAAACTAAGGATCTAAAAAAGGTTCTAGTTACTAATAAGTTACAACATGGACAGGAATAGAATTTAACATACCTTTTATCACATCTTTTTTTTTTTTTTCCTTTTTTGTCTTTTTTACTGACCGGTAACGGGATCGCAACCCTCGGTGTTGCGCCCGCTCCGCGCCTCACATGGGATCCGAACCCTCGGCGGGAGCACCGCCGTGCGGCGCACTCTCCAGTGCGCCACCGGGCCGGCCCTATCACATCATTTTTTAATCACATCATGAAGCCATTACAACTACCTTTAAGGGTTGCTGTAAGGATCAAATGAGAACCAAACAGAAGCTCTTGGAAACTATATACAAGGAAGTTAATCAAAGTCAGCCAGAGCTGTGCTTCTTAAATTCATATTTCCACATATAAGATATAATACTATGCTCAGATTCTCCCCTGTTCTGGAATAAGACTAGATAGAGACTGCTCCAATGTGATCATCATCATCTCCTTTATACCAAATATCCCATTTTGTTCCTGTGTCCAGAGCTAAGGATTTGCCTCAAATACCCTGTCAAGACACCATTCCCTTTTGGCAAATAGTTATAATCTTTGCAACTCACTCTGAAAGTGATTCAAACATGGGCTCATCATTAAAAGAACAGCTATGTCAAGCACTGTGGAGTACTTAAAACTTAGGATCACACAGAATTCATTTATTTTATCAATCACGACTTCATTGTTTACTACACAAAATTATGATTCCATGTAGTCTAATATAAATGAATTTATGTTACCCTAAGTGCAAAACATCACCTAACACCATGTATTTTTATCTACTTCCTCCAACAGTAAATCATTTATCATTATCCCAACAAATCCATGATCTCCCATCATTAACAGTGAAGTTCACTACAAGAGCAATTCTTTCTGGAGAAAAGGAAGATTAGAAAAGAACATCCCCCCTCCCTGATTGATCTGAATATGTTCCAGTTAAGAAGCACTGCTCTAAATAATCGGTAATCCAAGACTTTAAACCACAATACTAAAACAAATGACTGGCATGTAACTTATGCTTGGGTTGACGGCAAGTACAGATAGGCATTAATATTTCTACCAGCTTAACTTGAATCTTTAAAACAACCCACCCAACATTCAAAAAAACAAAATCTTCAAAACCAAGTCCTTTGTCTAAACTCAGAAAATGAACATGATTAAGAAAGCTAGTGAACTAATAGCACACGCTGATCTTTGCTCTCTGCATACATTTTAAAACAGACCAGTAATGCTTTATTGATAGCAAATTCTGTTGATTAAAAAAAAAAAAAAACTTAAGAGGTGAAATTTTAAAATGGTCACATTTTCTAGCCATAAACTATCTCAGAACAAAATCTGTACAATGTAAAGTGTCAAAATTACTTTCAACTATGAGTTCTAAATACAAGTTCTCTTATTCCAACCATTTGTTCTAATTTTTAAAACCCCCCAACTTCAGTTTCTATTTCCCACCTACTTGATGTCTTAGGATAAGACAGCTATCACTAGAATTACCCATTATAACTTCTCTAATAAATCAGGTAATTATGTCAAATGCATAGCACTTTATTTCTATTTTATATTCTCAAGTTACAATAGGTCATGTTTGTGGTTAGGCCTAATAATAGGTTTTACTAAACTATGTGTATTCCTTAACTTTCTAAGATGTATGACAATGGTAAAATGGGTAATCAAACAGAAATAATCACATCAAAATAGTCAATTTTCAAACCATTAGAGCCAAATGTATACATGTGTAAAGCTCTCTTCTAAGTACTATTTGAAAAATAGGAGTATAATGAAAAGCCATCAAATACCAGCATTAAACCTATGGGTTACCTTACTGGTAAAACCCAAACTGCTTTCAATGCTGGTGCATTACTACTACACACAAAACCACTCACTTATTTTCAGTGTCTGCCACTGGATGTTCTTCACCTTCAGGTGTTTCCTCAGTCACATTTGATTGATCCAAGTCACTGCAATTATAAGATATTTGTTTCTGAATGTATTTGGGGGACTCTCTAAAGAAAGAAAGAAAAAGAAAGGCAACCAGGTCCATTTACATGTAGCTGAAGGGTTCATCCTATGAAAATATTAGAAGACCTCACATTCTCTAAATGTCTTTTACTACTAAATCTACTCCCCAGTAGGACTCTAAGCGAAAACAATGTTATCTACTGGTTAAGTCATTTCACATACTTAAAAAGAAACTAGACAGGGCAGTTAGCTCTAAAACAAAACTTTACTGGCTTATCAAATTTTTTAATGACCAGAATGTCAATAGCTAGAATAGGAACTATTAAAGACACAAACTGAAGTTAAAAAAAAAACAACGGACATTTGATACAATATAAACACAAACCTATCCCATAAGACATTATCTTGTAAAATAGTAGCTCTGAGATAGTATTCATTCTTGTCTCAGGGACAAATAAAATTTAACAGATGAAACTCTAGTAAGATATAGTACCAATTTTACTAAAATTATTTATTAAAAAAAATCAGAATACCAACGTTAATTCATCTTTGACAGTTCCCCAGTTGTGAGATCCGCTACCACCACGTTTGTCCTCATGCTTCAGGCCACTGTAATGTGAAAAAGAACTAACAAAACTGAGTTAACATAATACTCTTTAGTTCTAGAAATTCAAATTTTGTTTTTTATTAAATAAATATATTAAAGTATAAAAAGTAAAAACCAATAAGACTTACGATCTATCACTTCCACTATGCCTATCAAATTCACGTTTGCCACGAGAATCAAATCCATCTCCTCGGCCCATTCCACGTCCACGGCCTCCTCGACCTCTTCCAAGACCACCGCGGCCTCGGATAGGCCGGTCAATAATCGGTCTACAATACAAAAAAATTGTACTTCTGTAATTTCTGGAAAAATGAGTAAGGAAAATGCACTCAAAGGCTTAACAATACAGAACACGTTTACTAGCTCTTAATCCAACAGTTAAATACATCCTTAAGAAAATTCAAAATAGTCTATTTTTAAATACATAAAGGAAACCAGAACTAGGAAGCTTCCCCAAACAAGAAAATTACTTTAGTATTCCTTAAAACGTTACTAGTGCATATACTTTCTCATTGTTATTAACCACACATTATAATCCAGTAAAACTGATCTTCACCAGTATACTTCAAAATGAAAATAAACACACCACAGTGAGTAATCTGTTTTGTTATAATCAATTAACCAACAGTATTTTCCTTTTAACTCAACATCTGTTGAGAGCAAGGAAAAGAAACTCACCACCAGTTCAACTGAAGTATTTCATTACAAGAGATCTAAGTTTGAACTGTTACCCAAAGATCTAAACACATTTAGATGTTTCTCTGAAAAACTGACAGAAGTAATCAACCACACTGCTGCCTAGCAATTATAAGTTGAGTATCCCTTATCTGATGCTTGGGACCAGAAGTGTTTCAGATTTTGAAAAATATGCAGAATACATACTGGTTGAGCATTTCTAATTCAAAAATCTAAAATGCTCCAATGAGTATGCCCAATTAACAGCTTAACGTTAAGATGTGACTCTACAGGGCCGAGCCCATGGCGCACTCGGGAGAGTGCAGCGCTGGGAGTGATGCAGCGCTCCTGCCGCGGGTTCAGATCCTATATAGGGATGACTGGTGCGTTCACAGCGCTCACTGGCTGAGCGCGGTGCGGCCGGTCCCAAAAAGGACAAAAAACAAACAAAAACCCAAAGCTAGTGATGAGCAGCCAGGTGGATTTCAGGTGTGACAAGAACCATGTTTGGCCTTGCTGGGGATTCTGGACATGGCCTCCCGTGGCAGTACCAGCACG